GAAGAGATACATTCGTCAAGAATCAGAAGGCACAACACTTAATGATAGTCATAGGGTACAAATAAGCAATCAGATCAAACTAGGAAACCATATCAATATAAATCGTAAGGATTCAAGCAACAAAGTTACAGTCATGCAATCATAAGTGGGAGGAGATGAGTGGTAGGAATGATGAGAAGACTAATAGTAAAAGTAATTTTAAGTGTGTCTAGTTGTGTTTTCTTTAAATAATCCGAGAGATGACCAACTCTCACTTTCCAGAATGGGTTAAGAAAGGTTTTCAAGACTCAGTCAGACCAGTGCAGAGATTAGTCATTTAATAATGAAAGAAGATCAACAAAATAGAAATAGATACAGTTGTATAGATATATAAGAATATATATACCGTAAGCAATAGTCATATCGGACTGTACGTGACTATAGATTAAAACATACAGAGGGATAAATGAATAGAGTGTTATGGTGCAACTATGAAAATAATGGTTATAACTATGTCGTACAACATTATGTATTTAAAAGAGACTCTAAGGTATGACTGTGAGAATAATGGTTATACTCAGAGTGTATAAATACTATCTATACTTAAAAAGGACTTGATACAGCCAGTACGCTGTCGTTGCAAAACTGGAAAACTGGATGTATAATAAAATGTACAATAAAAATATTTTTAGAAAAGAAAAAAAGAATCAGTCAGTCCTGAAGGAAAGTGGCTTAAGATCCAGGCTGAACCGAAATGCTAAACCACAAGGCATTAGTTTTCCTAGACAAATTAATTTCCATAGGGGAAAGGAGTAACATACTAGTGTTCTGATGACAAAACCAGGGATTTGCTGCTAACAGGCATCTGTCTTTTGTATCCAGATTATCCGTTGAAGTGGGCAGGTAGACACTGTTCTCTGCCAATGTGCCTGGAGGTGTGAGTGCATGTTGCAGTGGGTGAGCGTTAAGGTCCCATAGATGAGGTCATTCCACTTCAAAGGGATGCTCCTTTTCAAAGGCTTCCAGTTCTGGTGCTCTGGAGTTTTCTACTGGCAGGAGTCTGCCTTCGTTCTTCCAAACTTTCGTCTCGCAAAAGAAGAAACGAGTCTGTAGTTCTCACAGAGTTCTTGCTGATCTTTGCGAGATCCAAGATAGAAATGAAAATAGAACGTGGGATAATAGAGTTGGAAGGGAGCTTGGAAGTCTTCTAGTCCAACCTCCTGCTCAAGCAGGAGACTCTATACCAGGGGTCGGCAACCCGTGGCTCTGGAGCCGCATGTGTGGCTCTTTTATCCCTCTGCTGCGGCTCCCTGTTGCTGGTCGGCTCCTCAATTGATAGGGCTTTCGGTTAGGACAGGTAGAGGAAAGAGGACGGCGTGCTAGGAGGAGACTCTATGGTGGGGGAACCGGATTTCCGGTCGGCTGCAGAATTGAAAGGGGGGCTTCCAGTTAGGACCTTTGTGGCTCTTTGAGTGTTTAAGGTTGCCGACCCCTGCTCTATATCATTTCAGACAAATGGTTTACTAGTCTCTTCTTGAAAACCTCCAGTGTTGGAGCACTTCTGGAGGCAAGTTGTTCCACTGATTACTGGGAATTGTTCTAAATATTTCTCCTTAGTTCTAGGTTGGTTCTCTCCTTGGTTAGTTTCTCCTTCGTTCTAGGTGAATTCTCTCCTTGGTTAGTTTCCATCCATTGCTTCATGTCCTGCTTTCAGGTGCTTTGCAAAATAGGTTGACTCTCTCGTCTTCGCAGGATGCTAATCCCACCAAGATGAAATGGAGGTTCTTCGTTGAGAATTTCCAAGGAAGGTTATGGGTTCCCACTTCCAAATTTTACATAGTTGGTGCTAGTGAGTATCAACTGTCCAAGACGTCAGGGACACCGTCCCCAACCTCCTGTTCTTACCTGAACAGGTTGGAAAGTAAACCTAGGATATTTTGCATAGATTAGAATAGAATAACAGAGTTGGGAGGGACCTTGGAGGTCTTCTAGTCCAACCCCCTGGTTAGGCAGGAAACCCTACACCACTTCAGACAAATGGTTATCCAACATCTTCTTAAAAATTTCCAGTGTTGGAGCATTCACAATTTCTGGAGGCAAATGGTTCCACTGATTAATTGTTCTGACTGTCAGGAAATTTATCCTTAGTTCTAAATTGCTTCTCTCCTTGATGAGTTTCCACCCATGAAAGTGCATGCTGTTTTTATGAGCTTCTTTTGAGTTCCTGCCCATTCTTGGGCTCACATTAGTTCTGTAAAATGTCAGACAATTCTGCCATTGCCAAATGAATTCAGGGTTGCTTAGAGGAGCCATGGTGGCTCAGCGGTTAAAATGCAGCATTGCAGGCTAATTCTGCCGACTGCCAGCAGTTCGATCCTGACCGGCTGAAGGTTGACTCAGCCTTCCGTCCTTCTGAGGTTGGTAAAATGAGGACCCAGATGGCTGGGGGAGGGGCGGGGGGCCCCCGCAAGATGCTGTCTCTCTAAACAATTTAGAGAGGGCTGTAAAGCAATGTGAAGCG